GAAGATGTGGGAGGAGCTTGGGTGGAACTAAGGATAGAAGAGGAGAAGGGACCTGAGAGAGAATGGAAAACAGTTTGCACAAGACCAGAAACTTTAGATACAAGGAGCTGTACAGATTGATTTGAAATAACAGTTAAATCCTTGACTACTGTATAAGCTTTTACTCCAGCAATATTGCTCTGTAAATAATTTGGGGAAGAGGAGTGAACGGTGTTGTCTTTCACACAAAATTCTGGATAGTTGGTGTCTTCTTTTAGTCTGAGGGCTTTAAGGTCTTTGGCCTATTCTGTGAGCTGTTTTTAATTAAGTCTGCAACTCCATGGTCAAATATTTGTTCTGCTTATAAAATAGTTGAATTCAAAGAAATTTTATCTGACAACATGATGCAAAGGCTAACTTGAATCCATCCAGCCCCTTTTCCTCCCAAAGCAGCTTTTTTCTTTCTCTGTCACTGGAGGATTTCTGCTTTTTCAAGCCAGAAAGATTCAAACAAGTTTTTTTTTCACATGTGGGTAGTTGGGATATGTTCTTGTAAAGATGAGGACCATGTCTGTAGATGGTGTTTTGGTGACACAGGCAGTTGAGGCATGACGTTCAGGACTGAGAGAACACACACCTCCATTCTTTCCTCTCCCCCAATCATCCTGCAAATTGTTTGAATTTTTCTTCTTACATATATGAGATTAGTGCTTGATCATTCTATCACCTTATTGCTGGGTCATCATTATTAGTCCTTCTCATATTTACGCCCTGTCAGTTCCCCAGACAGGCAGAGGTGGGAGAAGAGGAATGAACGATCGACTGAGGCAGGACCAGAGGAAGGATGGAAAGAAGGGGGCTGTGGCTTGGAATATGAATCATATTGCATCCAGTATGAACTGTGAATTCCTGAATTAATCCCCAGCCCCTATGTGAGCACTAAGCCTGGTTTCAAATATAATACAGGCTGCAAATCAAATCACAGTCTTGTCACACACCAGGTCAGTGTGTGAACACTACACATATGCATTGACAAGTGTCAAAGTGTAACACAGTATATCCATTTGCTTATGACTGTTTGAATAAAACATCTATTTGTTTTTACTGTACTAAATTGCAAGATATCTACCATAATGTTTGCCCCAATATATTGATGTCTTTAATAAATGCTCTTCTCATAGTGTATTGTTCTTGCAAATTGATTTAGCAATCTTCAGGCTTTTACATTCATTAATTTTACTTCTTCAAGTGCTGAATAAAAAAGCAGTTGATTAGCTTTATGGGGCTGAAGTTCAAACAATGGCAAGAAGCATCTTTCTGGAGGTAGTAGTCTACTTTTAGCATTACTTGGTAACTATCCAAATTATGGATTCTCAAGGGACATAGCAAATAACAACAGGTAAAAAAACAGAGTCTTCATTCAACTCCATTTGCATACATAATCTGCATCAGCTGGTGGACACAAATGAGGAATACTTCAGAACTTGCAAAATTTACCTATGAAGACTACTATAATTCTTTAGAACATTTGCAAGCTCTAAAGGATATACACTTCCATGCATATCAAAAGTCACACTCCTTCCATTCAGTGGGCCTTAGATAAATACCACAAGATGTGTAAGGGGATATATTGATATGCACATGGGCATTTGCACCAAAAGAAACCCATTTCCATGCAAGAATCTCCATTTTTCTAGCAGGAGTCTGACTTGCCCAATGTAGAGATACCCATGATATAGGGTAAGAACCAAACTGATTTACATTTCATTTATTACTTTGCATTGCATTTGTGGTGTAAGAAGTTGAATTCTACCAGAGTGTAACGAAGTAAAATATTTCTTTCTAGAGATGGTGGTATTTGTATTCGTATACAAATACCCCCACACAGGTAGACATAATGAAGGTCCCGCCCCATGGAGCGGGACGATCCACTCACCAATCCGCCGCAACCGCAGGTGACACGGAACCTTCCAATGGCTCCTGAGATCCTGTTTGGCGAGCCACTCCTGGCAGGAGGCGGAATGACAAGCCTCTCTGCTAGGTCTAAGAGTGGCTCACAGAACACAATCTCCAGAGCCATTGGAAGGCTCCACGGTGCCCGCAGATGTGGTGAATCAATGAGTGGACTGTCTAGCCCCACGGGGCTTATGTCCACCTGTGCATGGGTATTCATAGATGAACACCCACATCTCTATTTATTTCCCAACCAGACAAGTTCTTCTGATCAGATATTATAGCTTTCATTGAAATTGTTGGTTATGAATATTCTCCAGGATATTTGCAAATTGATTATGCTGGAACACATGAATCTTTCCAAGCTCAGCTTATTTGGCATTCAAGCCTTTTGTCCATGAAGCTGCTTGATTGCCACAATTTTCAAAGAAAGAAAACTTTCCAACAATACTGGAAAGCTGGTTATATGTTCTGGGCAGTTGAAGCAGAAACTGGAGTAAATTAAATACTATCAAATCAGATAGGCAGACAAGAATAATTTTGCCCTTAGTTTATAGTTTAAAAAATTCCAAAACAAGTGTGGACCGCCCTTTTCCACCTTTATCATGATGGTTACAGAACACACATTATTAAATTCAGTGCCATCCATAAATTAATCCATTAAGCATTCACTTCATTTTCTAAAGAGGCCAGTTCAGGAAGATGCTGGAAGCTTGAAACATGGCTTCTGTTCAACATTATTTAGCATTTTCCCTAAAGAGAACCAATGACACAGACATATATCTTCAAAGTATGACTTCTGCAAGAGATGACGTGACCCACTGTGCCACATATTTCTTGTCATGCTAACTGCTCAATCATCAAAAAAATGAAGTGCAGTGCTTGCATTACCAGCTCTGAGGAAATATGAGAATACAGAAGGCTGCCTTGAAGTAAGAGATCTAGCTGCATATTGTGTACCAACAGTAGCTTCCTGGCATTTCTAATAGGATCCTTACCTGGAGATGACAGGGATTGAATCTGGATCCTTTTCCATGCATAACATGTGCTCCTCCATGAACTACTCAGCTTCATCCCTACCCCTTTCATGGATACACCATACACTAGCACAACTAATGTTGAAGTTTTTTGGGAATTCTAGTCCAACAATATCTGTGGACTCAAGGTGGGGAACCAAAGTTCTAGTCCAGTGGTTCTTAACCTTTGTTACTCGGATGCTTTTGAACTGCAACTCCCAGAAACCCCAGTCAGGACAGCTGGTGGTGAAGGCTTCTGGGAGTTGCAGTCCAAAACTCCTGAGTAACCCAAGGTTAAGAACCAGTGTTCTAGTCAACCATTTCTGTTTTGTATGGGCAGAAATTCCAACAATCCAAATCTTGGTTCCACTCTCACTATCGTTTTATAATGGATCCCTAAAGTTCTCATTGGAGATATTTGCTGCATGTTCCAGTGGCAACTAAATGGAATTTAGCACTGAATTATGCTTGGACAATAGTAGAACACAATTGTTATAATGCAGGAAAGTGACAAGAAGATGAAAGCTTATGCAGTAATAAATTGGCTGGTCCTCATTTTGGAGATATTTGCTGCATGTTCCAGTGGCGACTAAATGGAATTTATCACTGAATTATGCTTGGACAATAATAGAACACAATTATTATAATGCAGGAAAGAGACAAGCAAACAAGAAGATGAAAGCTTATGCAGTAATAAATTGGCTGGTCCTCATTGACTGCCACAAGGCTCTTTTTTATGCAACAGGCTAACGAAGCCACCCCTCTGGAAGTACTGTGTAAATCAGGGGTGGGTAAAGTGACGCCCTGAGACCTGACCCCAGGGCTGTTTTTACTCTGCTACCACCCAGCAGCTTGATTCAGTGGTTGTGCTCTAGTCACTCTCCCTATTTTGGCCAAAACCCTGGAAATTTTTATGAATTATTATTCAGCTTTTACTTGAGGTTCAGGGCCCATTTAGCACCTGCACTATTTAACATGACAGCATGTTATTTGCTTGTTTGGGTCAGCTGTAGTTTTTTGTTTTGTTTTTGAGTCTCCAAAGCCCCTGGAGGGTCTTGAGGCAAAAATGTGATCCCTGGAGCTGCCAAATTTGCTTACCTCTGTTGTAAATTATTAAGAGGATGAGCTGGCCCAAGAGTCTCCAGGACTAGTCCTCCCATAAGGCAGGATGAAGCAGCTGGTTCAGACAGCAGACATTGGGGTCAGCAATGGCAGTCTCCCAGGGGTTCCTCATAAATGGCAGAACTGTGTTCTTCTGCTACCCAGACACTGCCAATATGTTGTACAATGCACAGTGAAACAGGCTGTATGTCTGGACCCACAGCTGTCCACAATAGATGGACATTTCAGCATTTCCAGTGCCATTTCTCCTGAATCTTAGAATCAAGCCGAAAAACAGAAACGCAAACTTTGGCATCAGTCTCTAATCTGATTGCCATCTCAGAACTCCGGCCGCTTTTTCAGCCGGGACACTATTCAGACTGCGTCTCTCACAGGTGCATTTGTTCGCTCTCTCACTCCCTTGTGCCACACTCACACACTCAGCAATAGAGCAGAGCTCTTTAAGCTGTCCTCTGCAAATCGGGTGGGCTTCAGATGGTCCGATCCTCTACTAGTCATGATTACCCGCTTTATCGATAGCTTAAAAAAAAAAAAAACGAAAATCACCCTGAAGGCTTTGTTAGGCTTTGCAGGCTCCCAAGTGTGTGTGTGTGTGGGGGGGGGTGTCTCCTGCTCTACCCCTGGGGTAGCTGCAAGGAGAAGGGTGGCAGGACAGGTTTTGCAAATCAGCTCCAGTCCAGAGATCCTTAACGGGTTTTCCTTTTCTCTCCCCCCTTCTCTCTCTCTCTCTCTCTCGCTCTCTCTCTCCCTTTCTTCGCTCCTTCCTTCCTTCCTTCCTTCCCTCCCTCTTTCTCTCTCTGACTGTCTTCCTGGTTCTTTCTCTCTCTTTCCCCTTCCCTCTTCTCCCCCCCTCCCCTTCTTCCTGCGCTGCCGTCCTCCTCCTCCTCCTCCTCTTTTCCACCCCTCTCTCTCCTCTTCCTCCCTCATCAGCTCGCCGGGCGACCCTGCTCACGGTACCCACATTAATGGCGGCATCTTCCGAGGAGGATATCGACCGGAGACCCATCAGGAGAGTGAGGTCCAAGAGTGACACCCCTTACCTTGCAGAGGCCAGGATCTCCTTCAACCTCGAAGCAGGTGAGTGGCAGCCACCCCGCCCCCCAACGCAAACCCTTGCCGCCTTCCCTCTTTAATCCTGAGGTGGCGGCGGCGACTGCTGGTTCTGTTACACACACACACACACAATCACACACAGAGAGAGAGACATCTACAAACACTCCCCCTCGCCCCCTCTTTGTGTCTAATGGGTGCCGAGGCTGGGGCTGTGGAGGGGGGGGGCTGCTGCTGCTGCAGTAGCTGGAGGATGTGAATCCTTGGCATGTCCTGGTTGTCACCCTCGCCTTTCTCTCCTCCCCCCCCCCGCCCGCCACCCGTTTCTCCTCATAGAAGATGCTGGTGCAATACAGAGCCGAAAAATGGGGAGGAGCTGGCGGGGCGAGGAAGATTGAGAGAAAGAGAGAGAGTTCGTAATTAGACTTGTTTGGGTATCAGCGCTGTATTCTCTGTCTGGAAGTAATTGTGGCCTCAAAGTTCGGAATGTGGAAAGACACTTGCACAGTTCCTCACAGCCATACCTTCTCAATGCAGGACTACGAGAGGCATAGAGAGTTGTTCCCACCAGGCTCTTTCAGATATTCCCCAAACGTTGCCACCTTCTGGCTGGCTTCTGTTCAGCTTTTCAGTCTCTCTTCCTCCTTCTCACACACTCTCTGATATGCCCAACAAGACCCCAACCTACACCACACACACACACACATTTTCTCCTCCAACGTCAGTATTCCAACCTGCCACCTGCTGTCTTCCAAATATACTTACCTACTCTCTGTCTAAACTGTGTTTTCAATTTTTTTGGTCACTCTTACTGCTTTCCATGATCCCTCTCTTGTCCTCACTGAAAGTCAGATCTCTCAAGTTCTCCCCTTCTCTGCTCCCAATCTGTCATATCTGTGGCCCACTACTTTGGCCCAGGGGGTTTCCTTTAAATAAATAAAAGAAAATACGCCAGGGTTTCACAGAAATCATGCGGGTAAAGCTTTTTCTGACATGAAGCTCAGTAGTAAACAAGACATTTCAGGTACTCCTTTGCAGGTGGAGGACTGGAGCCCATGGAAGAAAAAGCTCCCTCACCCACGATGCCTCTTCACCACCTTTAGATACCGCTGGTTGTCAAACAATTACTTTCTCCACAGTTTCCTCTCTCCACCAAGTATCTTTCTATCCATTGATTTTATCAAAATGTTCCATAGTTGACTCAACTCATATTTCTCTTTAATGTTCTGCTGCCTCATCATGAGTCCTTCCTTGTATTCCTGGCCTAACGTTTGATTATTTGAGTCTATCCCTGAATTCCTCTGTGAGTCCACACATATTTTGGACTACATGTTTCACAGTCCCTTACTACTGGACTTGCTGCCTGGCACTGAATACAAATGTAGGCCTAAAACTTCCAGAGGGCCAAATGTTTTGTCTAGAACTGCCTTTTCAACTTTTCGTTTACCCCTGTCCATGATCCCCAAATCCCATGCATCTTCTTTCTACTTTCTACATAGATCCTTTAATAATGGGATTTTTTAAAAAAAATCACAGATAATAATAAATAAAAAAGACAAAAACCTTGTGGTACCTTAAAGTCTAAGTCATATTTTGTGAAATTTCATGGACAAGTCTGCATCTTCAGACACAGAGTATGAGGTATCTGTTCTTCACCTGCTCTGGAAGGGTGATGCGAGAAGGAGAAATATGAGTTTTGTGTCCCACTTCCCTTCATTAGAGGGAAGTTTTGAGGTGTGTCTTCAGCAGACATGAAACCCTCAGCTGCACGCCCTTTTTAGCTGAGAGGGCCCAGAGAAATCTCACCAAAACTTAATATCGCAAAAGGACTGTATAGCAAAGCTTTCCTCTTTCAACCGTTCCCACTGACTGAGTCGCTGGAAGCTGCTGATCAAGCTAACTTTCTGGAAGTGCATGTCCCACACCACACTAAAAGACTGAGTAGGGAGTAGTGATTCTGTGGCTTTCTCCATGTTCTTGAATCCTGAGTGTGTCTCCCTCATGGCAATTTTCTTGTCACTTTACACCAAGTAGAATGTTATTTTTTAAAAAATGCAGCCTGTATATATTCATTGATATGTTTATTGCTTTTGGTAACAGGTCTTTGATTCCTCTCTTGTCCTTTTGATATGGCAATATATCTGCTGTTGTGGTAGACACGATTTTTGAGCCCAGGAACCAGAATGGCATATGAAACTGTGTTGTTTTTGAAAACTGTGTTTTAGATTAACATTGAAGAGTGAAGAGTGTGGGATAATAGGATGGGAGGGTATGTCAATGAAAGGATATTGTACTGGTTCCCAAATTGCTATGTCAATAATGTATCCCATTCTAAACACACCATCAGTTGAGAGGAAGGGTATCTTCCAGTCACTTGTGTCTTCAGTTTTTCAAGAAGTTGTAGTTCCTGCTTGATCAAGGCTAAGTCTTTGATTAGGGAGTTCCCATCCCTAAGCAGGCATGTTGAAGATGTTTAGTTAGCTGTACACACAGCAGATATTAATGTGTAAAAGTGACACATGGCTTTCTCCTATTTAATACTGCACTTTCTCCCACTGGAATAATTCATGCTTTCATAGGAGTGTAAACACTGAGCAAAGTTCTGGAGGATGCTTTCATTAATCCATCGTCTGATGCTTTGAATTCAAAAATACGATACAAATTGGTTGCTAAGCAATGTTTAAGCTAATAAGGAAAAGGGCTCTGAAATGTGCCTGTAGTAAGCATTTAACATTTTAAAAAATCGTTAGGAAAAAATAAAGCAAGAGTTCTTAAACTGGATGAGGACCAAGATTTGATTTAGCAAGCTTACTCTAACCAGATGGATTGTACAGCAGGTTTGATTTAGAGCACTTTTAAGATATAAAAACAGTATCTTTTACGGATTGTTTGGTGTTATCTTTTACTCAAAATCCATATTGTGCTATTGATACTGCCACACTGAAAGTTACACAAATTACCTGCTTTGCTGTGCAACGAGGAATACTGAAATATTATTTGACAATGAAATACTGACATAGGTATAAGTTTTCTCATGATACATTATTATTCAGTATCTGCAAACAAATACTGTGTCTTTATGTAGTGTCCTTTGAGCTTTGCTCTTTAGCCAGTTCACTGTATTTTCCCACCATGGTAACCACAAAAACAAGACAGAATTTTGCAGTATGAAATGTTTCACCTGGGCACCCATGCCCTGCTCTATTCCATCTCTCGTGTGATTTTACTTTTCTCCAGCCTTGAAGGTGGTCAGTGGCCACAGAACACCCACATTGGCTGATTTGATGTGCAAACCTAATAGGAGCTCCAGGCGCTGTTCATTCTAGGGTGGTGCTGAAGTGGATAGCTAGAAACCGGTGAAGGGAATGGTATTTTGCAGTGAGGAACTTCTTAAAGGAACCTCTTGTACATGCTGTAGATTCTTCTAGGCCCTGCCTATAAATATGTATAATCATGTACAAATACATTAGGAAGAAAGAAATAATGCTGTGTTTGTGTGTCTCTGTGTTGAGCAGTGCAAGTGGAACTACAACTATTCCACAGACACTGCAAGCCTCCTACCTCATTTTCCACTGAATGCATTTATGATTACAATTTCTGCAGCTCAACTGCTGTGTACATTGCTGTTTTGTCTGCCAGCTGCTACTTCTAGGTTTCTTTGATCTGGTCATTGTTTTGTCTTAGGATAGCAGCTGGGATAACTTGCATCCATGTAGAGCCTTTTCTAATATGTGTATTTGATAGCCTCTCTTGTGATAAGGCCCATACACAGATAAACACTACCATTCTTTGCAAAATAAATGGCTGAAAGCCAACATTTTTTGTTTATCTGTTTGAGCTGTAGGTTATAATTATAATATTAGCGCTGTTATCTGTGTTGCCGAACAGTTGTGAGACTGTGCATGTGGAACCCAATTATCCAGTTTCAGAACAGCAAGAATTTGCTGTGTTTCTCCAAAGCAATTAAGTGGGACAGCCTTCAGTTGCCCGTCTAATAAGATTACATTAATCATTTGCTTCTTTGTTTTGCATTGCATTGTTTTATAAGATTTCAAGCAAATATTTATTGTTTATACTGATTGCATTGGCATAGTATACATGACATTGAGATTCTGGTATCAGGTGAGCTTAGAATTCATGTTACTTCTTCAAACTTTTCTATCTTTTTTTTAAATTTCAAGGAGAATAGGGACAACATTACCAAGCAGAATGTGGTTTGGTAAATCATATTTATTTGTGCTCATGGGCTAATTTAGTTCAGCATTAAGCCAGAATGTCTCTATCTGTTCAGAGTAAAAAGTTTCCTTAAGTTCTACCAACAATTTAAATCTAAATACATATTTCTAACCATTCTCCTTACTATTTCATTGTTCTTCATTTTTAGTATGACAGCCATGATTAAAACTGGTATAGTTCAGCTACATAGGGTATTTGTGACCCATAAATCACATTGACTTCTCTTTGTATCCTGCCTATATTTCCATGTCATCGTTGACAGCTCTATTCAAGGCAAGGAAGGGTGATATCTTTATTAGACCTCCTTTTTTGTTGAACTATGAACTATGGCTGTATTCAGTTGTTCTGAAAACCAGAGTCATCAAGTCAGTTATTGGAAGAGGCCATACCTGTCTGTTCCTTCATCACTTTGTTGACATGAACGGCTACATGTTTGAAAGGGAGAAGAATCTTGTTTATGTTAAGGTCTAAAAACAAGCAAGAACGTATATTTTAAAGGGTTCTTACTGATGTGTACAGCCTACATGAGAGCAGGATCCTTCTCCTCTTCAGATATGTTTCTTTTCATGTGAACAAAGTGACAAGCGAACAGACAGGTATGTCTTCTTCCTGTAATTTTGTTGATGATTCCAGGTTTCAAAATGACTCAATAGCAGGGGTAGGGCCTCATATCATGGGATTCGCAGTCAAGTCGCATTGGTGACTCAACTCAGACTTGACTTGGGTTTCTTTGTTTTTTCAATGACTTGGACTTGACTTGTGACTTGGAACCCATCCACCCCTCCCTTTTT